TAAAAAAAAAAAAAAAAAAAAAAAAAAAAAAAAAAGAAAAAAAATAAATTGTAATTATAAATCGGATAAGTCCCTTTTTTTAAATGGAGAATAAAAAATACCATTTGTACATTCTTTAAGAATACAATAAAAAGAAGTAGGCTCTGTCTCAGCCAATTGTGCTAAAGATTTTCTATTGAGGTCCACGTTGTGACGTTTTGAACCGCGAATAAGGAAATTATAATTAGAAAAAAATTCCCTAGAAAATGCATTTATTTTAATTATCCATAATATACGATATCTTCTTTTTCTTTGTTGTCTATTTATATAATTATTCATTAAACTTTTTATTACTCTATTACGTGCTATTTTATAACAAGAAGAAGAACGACCTCTAAATCCACGTGCTACCTCAAATATTATATCACGAGGTATTTTCATCTTATTTATTTATTCTTAATTTATTCTTATTTATTATTATTTATTTTATTTATTTCTTATTTTCTTTTTCTTATTCTTTTTATTAGTTATTCTTCTATCTATAATTTATTCTTCTTTTCTTCCTTTCTTTCTTCTTCTTTTTTTCCTCTCATATCTGCTTGTTCTCTTATTCTTCTTCTTTTTATTGTTCCTTTTCTTCTTGTCTTCTTCTTGTCTTCTTCTTCTATAATAAGGAATATTAATTGTCTTATGTTCTGTTATATTACCATTTATATAAAAGATAATTAAAGAGAAAAGAAGAAAAAAAAAAGAAAAAAAAAGAAAAAAAAGAAAAAATGATGATTATTTACTCCTTTTTATCTTGCATGCATTATGTATAGGTGGTGGGTGTGTGGCTGCTGCAGGCGTCTTATATAAATGTTGTATATATATATATATAAATATATATAAATAAAGGGGATAAATACTATATATAAATCAATTAAATTAATTATATTATTATTTTATTTATTTAAATTAATAAATTTATTTATTTATTTATTTATTTTATACATAACATGAAGAAGAAGCAACTCATGCAGCTACTACTACCAGCAAGGGGAAGAAGAGGAGGGAGGAGGCCCCATTCCTATGCATGAGGCAATGGAGTGTACAGACACAGCAAATAAATAAAATAAATCCTTTTATTTATATTAAATTAAATTAATTAATTAAAAATTAAGTCTTTTTTTATTATTATTAAGAAAAAATAAAGAAAAAACAACCCCTATACATCATCAACACATAACACACACGCAACCAGAGCAGCGAGTCAACAACAGAACCTACTTTGCTGCTGCTGCTGCTGCTGCTGCTGCTGCTGCTGCTGGCGTTGTTGCTGCAGTTGCTGCAGTTGCTTCTCTTGTTATTGTTTTGTTTCCTTTCCTGCATTGAATCGCCACACAATATCAGTACACCGCCCTCCTGCAGCAGCCGCTCTCCTGTAGGACGACAGGCTTAAGAGCAGCAGCAACAGGAGCAAAGATTAATCTGCAGCAGCAACAGCAGCAACTGTCAGCAGCAGAAGCACCAGCAGCTACTGCAGCAACAGATTCTTGGTGGATTCCCGAGGTCCTCCCACTCTTCGACCTGCGACGACAATACCTGCAGCTACAGCAGCAGCAGGACACAGTCAGCACAGCAACAGCAGCAGAACAGCAGCAATAGCAGCAGCAGAATAGCAGCAGCAACAGCAGCTTACGAAGGTATTCACGGAAGCGCAGGAGCTCAGAAACATCAGCTCACATGGACAGATCTGCAGCAGCAAAGAATTTGCTGCAGCAGCATCAGTAGCAGCAGCGGCTGCTGCTGCTACTGCCGCAACAAAGCGCTTTCCTTATATAGAGGCACATAACTAGCTGCAGCAGAAGCAGCAGCAAGCAGCAGACGCAGCAGCAGCTGCTGCAGCAGCTGCCGTTGCGCCTAGGAAGCCCGATATGGGCTGTGGTATTAGTTCGGGTAAATATACTCTTCATTACTTGCTGCTGCTGCTGCTGCTGCTTGCTGCTGCTGCTGCTGGTGCTTGTTGCTGCTGCTGGTGCTTGTTGCTGCTGCTGGTGCTTGTTGCTGCTGCTGCTGCTTGCTTCTTGTGCTGCTTGCTGCTGCTAATACTGTCTGCTGCTGCTGATCTCGCATCCATTGTTTGCTGCTGGTGCATGTTTTCCACTGCTGCAGCTTCATCTGTTGTTTGCTGCTGCTGCTGCTGCTGCTGCTGCTGCTGCTGTCTTTTGCTGCTGCTATAATATTGTCTGCTGCTTATGTTGTGTGTCTTCTTACAGCGCTGACGGGGCGGGGAGATTCGCAGCTGCGTCTTCACAATGCCTCACCGTAAGCAGCAACAGCAGCAGCAGCAGCAACAGCAGCAGCAGCAGCAACAGCAGCAGCAGTGGTAATAGCCGCAGCAGCAGCAGCAGCAGCAGTAAGGGTAATAGCAGTAGCAGCAGTAATTGTATCAGTCATAGCAGCACGAGTGGATACCTACAACAGCAGTTGTTCTTTTTATTTGTTTTTCCTCCTTTTTTTATTCTTATTTATTATTAATAAAGTAAATTAAATATATTTAATAATTATTTCTATTATATTGCTGCTGCTGCTGCTGCTGCTGCTGCTGCATTTGCTGCATTTGCTGCTGCTGTATGCGTGTGGTGCAGAAGTACCTCCTCCTCTCGCCTCAGCCTCGAAGCCAAAATCGTTAGTCACACAAACCCTAAACCCTAAACCCTTAAACCCTAAACCCTAAACCCTCAAATATGAGAGGCTAAACCCCCGAGACACAAACCCTAAACCCTAAACCCTAAACCCTAAAAAGTTGAATATTAATTCTTTAGCAGCAAGACAAGTTCTCCTCCTTTTCTGCTTTCCCCTCCACATTAAATAAATAAATAGATAAATAAATAAATAACATTAATTAATTTAATTAATTAATTAATTAATTAATTTATTTATTTATTTATTTATTTATAGGTATTATTGGGGGATAGCGGTGTGGGTAAGAGCAGCATTGCCCTTCGTTTCTCTCGTGGTCGTTTCCCTCTGTATCATGAGGTCACCATTGGTGCTGCTTTCTTACAGCAAACCGTTAGATTGGCACAAGGTAGGCTGCTGTTGCTGCTGCTGCTGCTGCTGTTGCTGCTTCTGTTGCTGCTGCTGTTGCTGCAGCTGCTGTTGCTGCTGTTCTCTTGGTGCTGTTTTGGTGGTGTTGATGCTGTTGCTGTTTTCGTGATGTTTGTACTGTTGCTGCTGCTACTCTTTTGCTGCTGATTATCCTGCTGCTGCTGTTGTTGCCACTTTTGCTTGAACGGCTGCTGCTGCTGCTGCTCTTGCTGTTGCTCTTGCTGCTGCTGCTGCAGGCAATCAGCTGAAGCTGCACATATGGGATACGGGAGGACAAGAGCGGTTTAGGGCGATGGCCCCCCTCTACTATCGAGATGCAGCAGGAGCTGTTGTGGTGTATGATGTCACGTAAGACATGCTGCTGCTGCTGCTGCTGCTGCTGCTGCTGCTGCTGGTGGTGGTATTGCTGCTGGTGGTGTTGCTGTTGTTCATACTGCTGCGCCTCTGCTGCTGCTGCTGCTTCAATTGCTGCCAATTTATGGCAGTTTGTGCAGAAATGTCCTTACTGCTCTTTTTGTTGATAATCCATCGCATTGCTGCCCTGTTGCTGCTGCTGCTGCTGTGGTTGCTGCTGCTGCTGCTGCTGCTGCTGCAGAGCACCCTCTTCGTTAGAAGCAGTTAAGTTTTGGACAAAGGAGCTGCGGCAGCATTTAGGGTCTTGCTGCATCGTCGTTGCAGCAAATAAATGCGATTTGCTGGTGGGCGCGTCGGATGTTACTGAGGAGCAGCAGCAACAGCCACAGCAGCAGCAGCAGCAGCAGCAGGAAGGAGAAGAAGAAGGGCCTAGTTCTGCTGCTGCTCCTGCTGAGACGGCGGCTGACACAGAAAAATACAAAAACAATTTGGCTCAAGTTAAACGCGGCATAGAGGTGCGAACATTGGGGAGAGAGGGTTTAGGGTTTGGGCTTCTTTTTGGGGTTTAGGGTTTAGGGTTTTAGGGTTTTAGGGTTTAGGGTTTAGGGTTTGCGGTGTATCTGTGGACTCCCCAGGAGGTGAAGAGCTTTTGCGCGTCAAACGAATTCGCTTTCATTGAGTGCTCTGCAAAGGTACGTGGTTACAGCAGCAGCAGCAGCAGCAGCAGCAACAGCAGCAAAAGCAGCAGCAGCAGTAGCTCGAAGGGGCTGCTGGTGGTGGTGGGGGGTTTTGTGCTTGTATTTACATCAATGTAAGGTTTAGGGTTTAGGGTTTAGGGTTTTGTTGTTTGCTGCAGACAGGACAGAACGTCAATCGGCTGTTCGAAGACTTAGGTGGGTTTAGGATTTAGGGTTTAACGTGTACGCCTTAGGGTTTAGGGTTTATTAGGGTTTAGGGTTTAGGGTTTACGCTGTTTGTGTCTGCTGTTTTGCTGCAGCACGAGATGTGTTCATGCGCCTTAAGGATGCCACACCAGCGGACATCTAATGCAGCAGCAACAGGTGTTGCTGCTGTTGCTGCAGCATCTGTTTTCGTGGAAGTTCTTGGGTGCAGCAGCAAGAGCTGCAGCAGCAAGAGCTGCAGCAGCAAGAGCTGCAGCAGCAAGAGCTGCAGCAGCAGCAAGTACTGCAGCACGAGGAGGCTGATCTTGTTATGTCAAAACTGAGTCGCATTTTGCTCAATGCCTTTGCTGCAGCAGCAGTTGCAGCAGCTGCGCAGCATCCATCATACATGGTTGCTACAGCAGCAGCAGCAGCAGCAGTGCTTGCTGCAGCAGCAGCAGCTGCTGCTTATGTAGTAAAGCGGTTATACGCTGCTTCCTCCTGCTACAAGGCACTGCATTTTTAGGTGTACGTACACCTCAACTACAACATTAAGATGAGCGGCCCGTCAATGGCCTTCGACTCAAGTTTGTTTTTTGCCCTAGGAGAGAAGATAGCAGCAGCAGCAGCTGCTGCTGCTGCTGCAGTTGCTGCAGTTGCAGCAGCAGCAGGAGTATCAGAAGCAGCAGCAATTGATAGAGGGCGGCGTTACACATAAATGGAGGGTACTGTTACTGCTGCTTCTGCTGCTACTATTGCTGCTGCTGCTGCTACTAACTACTGCTGCTGCTGGTGCTACTAACTACTGCTGCTGCTGCTGCAGCTGTTTGCGCAGAGTGTATATGTATAGGCTAGCTACTGTATATTGTATATAGGGTGTACATGCAGCTATTTATTGTTAGCTATTTATATAATAAAGTAAATAATAAAATAAATAATATAAATTAACATATTTAATTAGATATAAAGAATTAATCAACACAAACATCTCCCTGTTGCGAGTAAGACCAAAGAAATGCAGCTGCAGCACTGCATGCATCCTCAGGTATGTTTTGGGGCTTTAAAAAGCCCCAAACTCCCTGCTGCAGTTTGCTGCTATTTGCTGGAGCTTACTGCAGTTTGCTGCAACCTGCTGCTGTTGTTGCTGCAGATTGGTACTGCTGCTTTCTGCTTGCTGCTGTTGCCGTTAGCACTTTGCTGCTGCACCTACTGCTGTGTGTGTAGTAGTGAATTGCTGCCTTTTGCTGCAGTGTACTCCATCCGCAGCAGCAGCGGCAGCATAAACAGCAGCAGCATTAGCAGCAGCATCCCGGTGTCTGTGTTGTGTATAGTATACGCATATATACATACATACATACATAAATAAATACATATATATAGATATACAGACATAAGATATATCATAAGATTCCCCTGAATAAATAGAATATATTAATGAATAATAAATAATAAATTGAATAGAATAAAAAGTAAATAAATAAATAAATAAATAATTTACCTAGGATTCCTAAGTATAAGAATAACTGCATCCCCTCTTAAGAATAATTTCGATATAAATCTATCCTTATTCACCATTCTCTGTTTTTTTTTTCCTCCACCTCTTGAAATTTCTGTCCACATTTCTCGAACGTCTGTTAATAATAAATTACAATGCCTATCGAATGCCTTAACTCGGCCTAATAATTTCCTATTATTTCGACAATTAATTAATACTTGACTATTATCTAGTACGCAACGAGATAGTAATTGTAATGGGCCACCCTCCTGTAATATATATATATATACACATATATACATATATATATGTATATTTATATTTATTTATTTATACATTCATTAATATATTCAATGCTGTGCATGCTGATCATTATGATGGGTGAGGTGATGGGGATATTCACTGATTATACTCTTGCTTCCTAATGATGATTGTGCTATGGTTGCTTCTATGGTTGCTGCTCCTGACTCCTGCAGTTGATAAGTAGTTATGTGGTCTGTTTATTGGAGGTAAGGAGGGATTAAGGGTTTAGGTAGGCTTCGTCTTGCTTCTAAATGATATAATATATCCTATGCATACAATATACTAAACCCTAAACCCTAAACCCTAGACTTACAGGGTTGTCACGGTTGATCATATGAGGGGCCGTCTTATCTCCGTCTGCTGCCGCCGCCATTCTGAGAAGAAGCACAGCAGAAGCAAACAATAACTTATACCTTTAGACCCTGCTGCCGCTGCTCCTCCCATTTGCTGATGGCTGCTGCTGGCGCTGCTGCTACTCCTGCTGCAGCTCCTGCTGCAGTTGCTGCACCCCACGTGGTGTGGAAATGCAAATAATTAGAAATGCCATTCTGTAGAAGTCTTTAAATGCTGCTTTTAAGCAAAAGAACAAGGGAAACAAACAAACAATACGGGCATGCAGCAGGCAGCATGCAGCATGCAACAAGGCGTCTAGAGGTTGTTCCACCCAAAAATGAAGATACAGCACCTAGTTTAATTCCTTTCTTCAAGCTTACTTCGATTATGTTCAAGAAAATACAAAAAAGGAACGAATTACCGCAACGCGCGGGAGATTAACCTCTGTTCGGGCGCGCGGCAGAGAGGCGCAGCGGGCGGCGGGAGAGAAGCCCACCGCCTGCGTACAAGGGGAATAACTAAAAAGGAAAACGTTTCGACTTAGCGCAATTTAATTGTGAAAATTTCCACAATTTGGCGGGAAACGCGAACCCAACAACACCACACATGACCCTGTAGCAGCAGCAGCAGCAGCAGTAGCAGCAGCGCTGCAGCCCCCCAGAACAGAACAGAACACCAGTAGCAGTAGCAGCAGCAGCAGCCCACGAGCACCGCTCTTCTTCTTTGTGTGTTCGTTAACTTCTTGAATTATTAGTTTATTGTGCTTATCAATTGAATAATTTTATATTTTCTTCTCATATTGACAGCCTCTTATGCGTCAAATACCCCACAAAAGCATAAACAAGCCCCCCCCCTTCCCATCCAGCTAGCGCGCTGCTCCGCAGATCCAGCTGTTGCTGCAGGAGCCGCCGCTGCTGTTGCTACTGCTGCTCATGCGGCGATAATATTACACCCACATGCCCTGTAGGGCCCCACACATAGCGGGGGATCCTCCCCTGTGGACTATCATACGCAGCCTGCCTCTGCGCATAGAAGGTACACAGCATTCACCAGCAACAACGGCAGCAGCAGCTGCTGCTATTGTACGCTCTGTAGCTGCGCAAAATCACCGCAGCACACACTGAACAGCAACAGGAACAGCAGCAGGTGCCGCAGAAGGACAAGCAGGACCTCGGGGAGGCCTCAAGACATGCGGCTGCTCGAGAGACCGTGCCTTCGTCTCCGACTCCAAACCCTAAACCCTAGACCCTAAACCCTAGAAGCGGGCTTGTATAGGCCCTCCATGCTGCAGAGGGGCTTCTCCTGCTGGTAGCCATGGCAACGTCTTTACAGGAGGTGGTTGTATACGACCTCCCCAACGCAGTTTGTCTCTTAGCTTTAAATGTGCAGCGGCAGAAGCAACAGCAGCCGCAGCAGCTGCAAGAGCAGCAGCAGCAGTTGTCCCCTAGTGCTCCTGCTTCGACCCCAAGAGACAAGGCAATCGGCTGTTGCTGCCGCTGCAGCTGCTACGGCCGTCTTTTGGTCTTCAAGAAGACAGTGTTAGATCCAGCAGAAGCAGCAGCAGCAGCAGCAGCAGGGAGCAACAAGGGCAGCAGCAGCAGCAATTCCAGCAGAAGCATCTGTACAGATACTCGGAGGAGCCTTAGTTGTGTAGCTGCCTTCCAGCAGCACTGTCTGCCCACGGCGAGCGTCTTTGAGTCGACGAGGCTGCTGCTGCTGCAGCAACAGCAGAAGTACAACAGCCAACTGCAGCAGCAGCGTCACAACACAGACTGTTTGCGGCTGCTGCTGCGGCCTCCGAGTTCTCAGCAGCAGCAACAGCAGCAGTTGGGGGTTGCTGCCGCTAGCACGTTGCCTCCAGGTGGCTGCGCAGGTGCCATCGACAACAACAGCAACAACAGCAGCAGCAACAACTCTGCTGCTGCTCGCAGCATATGCGGCCAGGGTACATGCAGCTGCTTTGCTGCTGCGCCAGTCTTCGGGCTTCTAGGGGCGGTGCAGCTCTTATGCGGTCTTTATCTCTGTGTGGCTACTCAGAGATCGACTGTTGGGGCTCTCCCCGATATAGCGGCAGCAGCAGCAGCAGGTGCAGCAGTAGCAGCAGGTGCAGCAGCAGCAGGACTGGATCCTGTGCCGATATTTGCTCTTGAAGGTGTGCAGTTAATCCCTCTTTTCGCTTGGAAGTGGGAGGGATCGCAGCAGCCGCTGCACCATGCAGCAGCAGCTGCTGCTGCTGATGCTGTTGCTGTTGAACTGCAGCGGCAGGTATTCTATGGAGGCCCTCGTGTTGGTGGCTGCTGCGCCCCTGCAGGTGTAGACATTGGGGAGATCAGGGTAGCAACAGCAACAGCGGACAGCAGCAGCACCAGCAGCAACAGAAGCGGCTACTCGTCGCCTCCAGAGCTAATTGAGGTACAACCAACCCACCGTCAGCAGCAGCAACAGCAGCAGAACTGCCGGCTGCAGCCGCAGCAGATTGCGGAGTTCAGGAAGCTGCTGGAGAAGGAGCAGCGGCTTTGCTGCTTGCTCCTGTCGGGCTTTAGTTCTTCTCCTTATTCGCTCCTCTTCTCTGGCGACATTGACCTCACACTCTCGCTGCAGCAGCAAGTGGAGCATGTGCAGCAGCAGCAGCGGCTAGAGCAGCAGCAGCAGCAGCAGCAGGTTGAAGCCAGGCGCTGCAAGTGCTGCAGCAGCAAACACAGAAAACTGCAACGAGGTGCTGCAGGGCATTTCGTCTTCAACAAATTTCTGCTGCGGGAGATGCAGCAGCATTTATCGCATGCATATATATCAGCGCAAAAAAAGGAAGCAGTTGGTGGCGCTGCTGCAGCAGCTCCTGCTGCTGCGGCGGCAGAAGCAGCGAGCGCACGCCCCTTGGAGGGTTGCGCACCAGACGGCGTAGACAGCAACAGCAACAACAGCAGCAGCCACAGCAGCAGAGCATCTTCTGTATACGATTGCGAGGGTTGTTGCTGCTGTTCATCGTCAGCAGCGGCAGCACCATCAACTGGTTGCTGCTTTTCTCCGTGGCAAACGGTGCTGGTCCAGGGGGGGCTGCAGCAGCAGACGATCGCCATTGCCCGTGGCCAGCACAAACAGCAGCAGCAACAAATGCAGCAGCAGCAGCAGCAGCAGCATGATCAACTGGGAAAAGATTTGGAGTTCCTTCAGCTGTCTGTCTTAGCTAGGCGCTCTCGTTTTGCTGCTGGGACTCGTTTCTACAGTCGGGGTTTGGAACGGCCCGCAGATGCTGCAGCAGCAGCAGCAGATGGAGCGACAGCAGCAGCAGCAGCAGATGGCCGCAGCAGCCCACTTGGAGTAGCCAACGAAGTGGAGTGCGAACAAATGCTGTGGACTGTATTGCCACCCCAAATGGCAATCGCAGCAGCAGCTGCTGCAGGAACACGAGCAAGAGCAGCAGAAGCAGCAGTACCAGCAGCCGTCACTGCGGATACGTTGCGTCGTGAACCTTGGGACTCCGGCGACACAGCAGCAGCTGCTGCATCAGCAGCAACAGCAGCAGCAGCAGCAGGAAGTGCTTCGTCAGAGTGGCGGTGGCGTTATAAACCCTCCTGTGCCTCCGTTGTATTTGTTAGAGGATCGATCCCTATCTATTGGAGACACGAAAGTGTTTCTCGTGCTCTCTTTTCTTTTCTTATGCCATCTCCTAGTACCTGTATTGATCTGCCTGCAGCTGAGGTGTACGTACACCTTAAGAGACACCTACACTGGCTGCTGCATCGCTACCAGCAGCCGCTACTGCTGCTCGATCTCGTCCGGCAACAGCACAACGTTGAGGGGACCCTCAGCAGCGCCTACCGCAAGGCCTTGTTCCACTGCAGCGACGAATTCGCAGTGTCTATACACTCCACCAGCGACAGCAGCAGCAGCAGCACCAGCAGCAGCAACAACAGCGAAGGCAGCAGCAGCAACTGCAGCAACACCAGCAGCAACTGCAGCAACACCAACAGCAGCAGCAGGATTAGCAGCACCGGCAGTCACGGCACAGCAAGTCGCAGCTGCAAGTTAGGAACCCGCAGTCCCAGCAGGACAGTAGCAGGTACACCCACGTCTCCTGTTGAGGGAAACGCTGCAGACAAAAACAGCAGCGAACAGCAGCAGCCGCTACTGCAACAGCAGCAGCAGAAGCAGCAGTTGCCACAGGTATACTACTACGAGATGGATTGGCACGTGCGCAGCGAGTCTGTTGGCTTTGACTCCGCGTTTGCTGAATTGGCGGTCCTCGGCTCCAAGCTGCTGCAGCAAACAGGATTCTTCCTGTTTCAGCAGCAACAGCAGCATCAGCATCAGCAAGAACAGTGTCAGCAGTCCGTTGTGCTGCAGAGGGGTGTGGTTCGTTTCAACTGTATAGACTGCCTTGATCGAACCAACATCGCTCATGTCTGTCTCGGTGTTGTTGCGCTGTACGTACACCTGAGGGCCCTAGGGGTTTGGATGCGCGGCACTCCTTGCCCCCATTGCTGCTTTGTATTGGAGGGACGGCAGGATGTGTTGAAAGCAACAGCTGAAGGTTTGCTGCTGCAGCAAACAGCAGAAACGAGACGCAGACACGGGGCAATACTTTTCAAGGAGCAGCTGCTGCAGCAACAGCAGCAGGAGTTGAATTGTAGCGCGGCACTGATTGCTGGGGCAGCAGCAGACCATGGGACTACAGCAGGGATTTTCTCTCCTGGATCTCAGGGAGCTGGAAATGGATTAGCAACACCAGCGGCGGCAGCAGCAGCAACAGCAACAGTGGCAGCCCTTGCCGCTCCTTCGGAAGAGCTACAGCTGCCTGGATTTGATTTGTCGTGCGGTGCAGCAGAAGCAGGAGTCGCAGCACCAGCTGGGGGTCCTCAATTTTCTGTTGCTTCTTCTCCTTCCTTGCCAGCGTTTAAAACTGAAGCAGCACTTGTTGCTGTTCTAGGGGCCTTGTGGAGAGGTATTGGTGACAGTATTTCAATTCAGTATGCGGGCTCTCCGGCTCTGCATGCAGCAGAATTTCCCCCTTGCCCTACGCGTGCTGCTGCTGCTGTTGCTAGTGGCAGGCAGCAAACACAGCAGCAGCCGCAAACGCAGCAGCAGCAGCAGCCGCAGCAGCCGGTGTCTGCGACTGTACAGCGTGGCGAGATGGCAGCAGCAACTTGGGATGGAATCATCAGCGGTATGAAGGACAGACCCTGGGCAGCACAGTCAAGGACCAGCGCTCTCTACGCTGTACAGAGGTACAGTAATACCTACTGCAGCACGATCAGCACGGCTAGCACAGGCAGTAATACCTCCAGTAGCAGCACCAATATCAGCAAACACAGCAGTAGCAATGGAAGCAGTCGCAGCAAAGGCAGTAACAGCAGCATTGCTGCTGCAGGTCAGCTGCTGTTGCATGCCTGCACTTGTAACATGTAACTTGGTTGCATGCGTTTTGCCGCATTGTTTGTTTGCTGCTGCTTCAGGTATGTCAGCAACAAGGTTTTTGACACGGAGAGACAGCGCGCCATTTATCTGCTCACCGGTGTCTTCAGGCCTTCTTTCCAAGGCCCCGATCTTTTTTCGTTAGACTGTTCCCAGCAGCAGCTGCCTATACAGACGGACGGTGGAGCACCAGGAGCAGCAGCAAGGCAGCAGTCTGCTGGAAGTCCTGCTGCTACTGCTGCCGCTCCAGGGAAACAGAGTCCAGGTCCAGCGGTGGCTGCTCTTAAGGCTGGGGGAAGCAATGTGCCTCCGACGCCAGCACAGCAAGCAGCAGCAGAAGCAGGGGAAGCAGCCGCAGCTGCTGCTGCTGCAGTTCTGCAACGAGGCAACCATCAAGCCTTTCTAAGGTTCAGCAACTTCCTCTGAAAACCGTAAACACCAAACTGTAAACCCTAAAGAACGGAAACAAACCCGCTGCGATGATTTTCGTGGCATCCACCTCCTCGTCTTGGGGGCCCTAAGCGTAGACCCATAATGCTGAACTTCCCGATGCAGCAGCTTCGTGCTCGCCGAGTTGCTACAGAAAAAGCAGCAGAAGCAGCAGGAGCAGCTACTGCTGCACGAGAAGCAGGAGCAGAAGCAGTAGCAGAAGACGCACCAATACCAGCAGCGGAAACAGCAGCATGCTCTTGTGAGGTGAAATATACCTCCCTGGTCAGTCGATGCTCCTCCTCGAACTTGGCAGAGAATGGAAGGAGCTCTAGGGTGCCCTTCTCGGACGCCGTGGGTTGGTGCTCTTGAAGAAGTTTGTTCCCCTTGAAAATATTTATTCTATTTTTCTAGCTGGCACGGGCGGGACTTGTTTGTCTCCGTCTTTACGCCGGCCAAAGAATGCAGAAGAGCAGGCAGCAAGCATACTTGACGTGTTTTGAACTACGTTGCTATGCTGCGTGTCAGCATAAAACTTTTGCTGTTGTTGCTGGTAGAGTTGCATCAACGCAAAAACCTCACACAGCGGGAGTCTGGCTTGTAGTGCGTTGAGATTGACCGCTATTTCTACAGAAGGTTAGAACCATATCTTTTATATGCTTTAATACCTACAGTAAACCTTCTGGGAAATGGATTCGCCCCATTGTAGAACGTAAACGCATAAACGCAACCTAAAAACCATCTGGTGGTGCTAGTAAGCATCGGAGAGACATACAGCACAATTGTGCGTTTATTTGCCCCAATTCGGCAAGATGACGAGGGTGGTCGCAGAGCGGGAACGTACTACTGTCAAAGCTGCTTGCGAATCTATAGAATTTTCTACAGTGTTAGTACACGCCCAAGATGGACCTTGGTCGTGCTTGCGTTGACGATCCCCTGAAAGACCTAGTTGCGATGTCTGAAGTAACTCGTCTCAGGCTGGTACCTCTAGCATCCGCATTGGCGCCATCGCGCACCTGCTTCTAAGTTGCTTAGATATTGAAATGCCATTAGCTCCTTTCTTTGAACACGAATTGTAACTCCTTTCGCCTTATTACAATTCGCAACAGCCCTCCGATCAGGTCGAGGGCCTTTGTCACGACGCGCTGCAGAACCCTAAAAGTAGCTATGGCTGCACATCTACTCACACCTGATCGATACGACTCCCACCATAGAAAGGCACTATACGCTTCCTTACATCAGCATTCAATAAATTCCTGACAGCGCCTAAAGGTCCAGCATATCAGGAGTGGCCATTTACTGCTTAACGACGAGTGGCGATTGAATTAATATCCACGATAACGGCAGTCCTCGATTTGGTCCAAGGACTGGCAAGAGTCGCAGTGTTGAACAAATACCCAGGGGATACTTAAATACGGAAGATTTCTCTCCTTATTACCCTGAATTCCTGGTCCCTGCGGCCCAAGCGCTTGCATTTGCTGAAGATGACGTGGCTCGCTAACGGACTTTGCTGCAACTACAGATGTGAGACTGCCACGCATGCTAACCCAGCCGAGGCTGGAGTGCTGCGTGCATGAACACTTACGATCATTGTTGAAGACGCCTTCTTGCTCTGAGGCTGCCTAATAAAGCGGATACAGGGGTCGATTGCCAACTTCTGAAACACTTGCCGGCGTTTGGCAGACTACGCAGCATACCCCACGCAGCTGCACCACACCAAACAAATTGTAGCGAACAATATTGCCTCAAATTCCAGATTTCGAGCCTACTCAACCACTCTAAGATGGAGAATTGCCACATACTCGTTAGGAACGCGCTATACTTTCCTAGATCAAAACAGTGCATCGACTTTTGGTAATAGTGCCCTTAACCGAGACATCACGAAACTGCAGCAATAATCATAACAATTAAAAAGGCAAAGCGTGAGAAAAAAAAACAGTCATTGTTTCAGTGGGGGTATTTTCAAATTAAGCCACAGTTGATTTGGGCTCGTGGAGGCTTGAGCGGAGGGCCCCCCCACTGTCGAAAGATGCTCTGCGGCGATCAACATCAAGTCGGCGATAATACTTGTTTGGGTTATTTACGTACAGGTTAAATGCATATGTTTGTTTTTTGCGCATAGATTGCCATGTTGTGGAGAGAAATGTGGCGTTTTTCACTGGCCATCTCCATTGCCATATCGCTCGCTTCAGTTTTGGCAAGTGGCCTTAATGAAGCGGTAGGCGCGTCTGTTTTCGATTCAGCTCCATTGCTTGTCCAAAATGAGATTCAATTGCGGCCTCCGGATATTTCCACAAGGTTTAGAACCACGCAGCGCCCTTTTTCTCGCACTGGCGCGCTGGTTCTGTTGGTCTTGGTGACCGTCGGGTTCCTTGTTAAATATTGCTTCGAGTTAATCGTGGCTGGCAGGGATGATAACGTCGGTGGCATGCTGAGACGGAGGCTAGCAGAGGGAGGCAGAGACCCATGCTCTGTAAGTCCTTCAACAGGGAAGAAGGGGCTTGGTTTTCAGCCCAGAAGACACTCAATGCGCTTTGCTTGTGATTGCTTGCTCTAACACACAGACTTTACAAATTGGCAAACAAAATGGAGGGCTCCTTTGTTGCGTTTGCACGGAGTGTTCAGCTCGTGGCGTCCTGCTTCTGTGTAGATTTACACTGAATCGTACTGGCCCACAGATGTTCGTTTACCGGCCGCTGGTGCTACTCTGCCACCCACCGGCAACGATGAGCTGTTGCTTCTCTTATATGTGCTACTCTGCGCTTTTTTGAATTCTGGACTATATACTGGTGACTGACGTAGCAGGATCCCCTTGCAACGGACCTGTGCTTCGAATGCAACTACGTTGTTTATTTTGCTCATGCGGGATTAGACGAGGGTGCAAATTAGTTTCGCTATGGGGTGCACTATGCTGGAATTGCATGGTTTCTGTTTTAAATGCTGTTGACACAAGATGGAGAGCTGTGACACGGAGCCACGAGGAGGCACCAAGACTGACCAGTGCAGCATCGCAAATAGGCAAGTGTTATTTTGAAATAGCATGAAAATACACTGGTTGACTGGTCTATCCAAGGGTTGTTGTGCGGTAAAATAAATGGGAACTGTTGGCTGTGGTCATGGTGATGCACCAAAATGGTGCGGTGGTTTACGACCAAACGATTTTCACACCCTTGTGGATTGCGTTCGCTGTTCACGCGTATCTCGCATAGTTAGAATTGTGGAAAACGTGACCTTGGTGGGAATTGATGACATCGAGCGAGTCCTTCACATTGTAGTGGAGACGTTCCAGAATTGCCTAGGAGGGCAGTGATGCCCTTCCTGTAGGAATGGGATAGTTACCATTTGTTTGCGGACGAAAAGTGTTGTGGTGTGTGCTAGTAATTGGTGGAGAAAACAACGAAAGGAGGGATCAGGTTGGACTGGTGGATGACGGTTCGATGGCGGTTAAACGGGCTATTTCCGTGCGAAATGGTACGCATGTGAAGGCTGCAATGCAAATTAGCCAAGGTATGATGGTCCGGATTTGGTGGGTGGGTTCGTTCGGGACGGACTTGGTGACCTGTTCAGGTAATTATGTCTTCTGGAGAATCATCAGGAGCTTTGGAATATTTAAACGCTAAACGGGTCGCTTTGAGTGCCTTTCCGACATGGCAAGCTGAGAATAAAGTGCAGCCGTTCGCTTGTCTCACCAATCGTTCTCTGTGGAGGAGGGAGTGCGCCTTGCTGAGGGTGCAGTCCCGCGCCCGTAGTCAGCAAGCGCCCTCACAGGGTAACAGTAATTCACACCCCCAACGTGCATTTGCTCGGCCGTCTAGCGTTCTGGAATTGGGGATTGGATTGTGCGTGCGTCACCCGTGGTTCGCTATCAACTGCGGGTGACGTTTTGTTGGGTCAATTAGCGACGACAGGCCACGGGGAAATTGTGCATTGCAAGTATCCGCGTCGATTGTACGGGAAACACGAATTTTCCACGCTGGTGAATGCACACCCTTGTACTATCAAGGTGAGCGGATCAGGGAACTGTTCGTGCGGATGCCCACCGTAGTGAAGCAGGCAACCCGCCTAGGAACGGCGATAGCTACGACCCAAAGAGTGATCATGAGGATACAGGCGAAACCTGTAATGATTTAACGGACTGTTCTTCAGGGGTGCCGCCTTTCTTGTAGAGAAGACGGATGATGGGGAAGCGCTGTTTACAATGTAGGATGTTCGATGGTCTCGTAACGGTGGTTGAAGGGTCAAGTTCCATGTTGTTCGGAGGCCCGTTCTGGTGTGAAGCAGGCTTATGTGGGAAGGGGTGCAGAGTAGGATACAAATAGGCATACATGCACTGCGTCGTTTCATACAGCGGGAGGCAGTGTTCTTGTGGTGGCGAAGGGGACTAAAACACGAACCACTATCCTCCAGTGGACGAGCTTGGACAGTTTTCACAGGTACTGCTCTCCCATGTCTAGGGGCAAGGCCACTTCTTTGCTCGCCGCGATGCGGCAAAGAGCCAGTTGAGCTCGCGGATACTGTCGTGTCCCAGTAGCCTATCTCTTAAGCCCTCGCTGAGACCGTCCTAGGTTTTGTGCAACTATACACTCTGCGTACACATATTTTAAATATATTCTTCTACTTTCGGCCCTCAGGGGGTCAGGAAAGCCCAGCATTGCGTTCCGGTGTTGTGAATGGGCAAAATGACGTGTAACGCTTGGCTAACAGATTTAATTGCCTCCTGGATATCAGTTACCCACTTGGCAGGGGAATAGACAGGAAGCTAAATTACCAAGCATCACATCAGCATTGCTGCTGAAGGGGTAGATGCAGCGTTATATTTGCGGCATTGTGCCTGTATGGCAATTGAGCAGCAGTACGAAGTCATGAATGAAGGTGGAAAAGCTATGGCAACAAAGTGTAGGATAGTACAGCGAAAACCTACAGATATACTGGGGCACATCCACACTGCCTCAAAAACAAACGTTTCTGACAAAGGACAGCGAGCAATATATAGGCAT